GGACCTGGCGTACACGGCCACTGTGCTGGCAGCCGCAGCGTGGAACATGGTGCTGCTTCAGTCTGGTTGGATGTACCGGACACGCGGTCGCCGCGCGCTGCGCAATTTAGATAAGTTGCTTCGCTGGTATCACCCAGCCGTGGCACGTGTGAGAGAGCGGCTACTCAAGTCGCTGGGCAGCGAGGACGTAGTGGACGGCGTGATGGCCTTCCTGTGAAACCGGTGTGTGTCCGCCCACGAGCTGGACTGCTTCTGCGGAAGAAAAGAATGCGCTCCGTGTTGAGGACAGAACTTTCAGTGGCGCGGTTCCTGCTTTATAGCGGGCTTCTTTTTGCTGGGCGAGCTCCAACTTGCTCCGGTTACGGGCCTTGCCCGGTTGTCGCTCTCAGTTGCATGAGCGCGTGTCACCAGCGCGATGGTTGCGTGATGTGTGTTGCGGTGCTGCGGCGAACGGCCTCGCTGCAATCGATGCCCTTCGATCAGATAGTGGCTAGCTCCTGGATGACTGCTGCGAGCAATGCGGATGGCTGTTTCCTGGAAGGATTGCTGCGCGTCTTGCAAGCCAGCGACATGTTTTGCTGTGCCGTGGTAGCGGAGGTGGAGTGTCGGAATGTTCTGGCCTTCTTGAAAACTGACCACACATGCTTGACATTGGAGGAGATTGCCGGCGTGCTGCGGGACGTTGCAGACATTGCGATAGAGCCGTGGTACGGCGCTGACGCGGACGCGGTCGCATATCTGCAAGGGGAAGTGAGCTGCGCGCAGCCACAGGGGCGCACCGTGCTGCGCTGGTTTAGGGACTGAGATTGCGACGCGTGTTGCGGAGAAACCTTTTGCGACGCGCAGGGAACACAAAGAAATTGCTGCGCAAGCCCTTGCAAGAGAATCGGAAACCTGCGGCAGTGTTCATGACAGCTGCGCCCTTGCGCCGCATCATCTTGCGATGGTTCGATGAGGTTCTGCGTTGCGGCGCTTGCGCTCGTTTCTTGCTGCGCCGGGCATGGCGGGCGAGGTTGCGAAGGTGCATCTGAAAAAGGCGCGTGGATCGCAGCTGGAGTTTGGTGCTGATGCGAGATAGCTCTGTTTCGATAGCGTGATGTCTCTTCTGTGTTGGTAGCCTTGATGAAAGTGCCTAAAGAGCACTCGCATATGACGCAACTTCGACATGCTTTGGTGAAGACGCGGAAGCAGCTGGCGCACGTGAAGCAGGGGTCGCAGAGGCAGGCGGTTCTGAGCGAGTACGAGAAGGAACTGGTACAGCTCATCTCGCGCGGGTACGAAGGGCTGCGCGAGCACGGCACAAGGCAAAGGCTGGAGGATGCAGGAGAAGATGTTGAGGCGCAGATGGCGTCGTTGGAAGAGACACTTGTCAAGTTTACGCAAAAAGTGTTAGCCAAATTCGCAGCAATTCGACACCCGTTGGCCGAGATGTGTGGTGCCGCAGACAGCGCCGTTGCTAAGCCCAGCGAATCAGCAGCTGACGACGACACTCTGAGGCAATACTTTCAAGCGTCTCTCTCATTGGAGGATACTGCAGAAAAGCCGGTCGCCGTGCCCGCGGAGCCAATGGATGAAACGCGCAGCATTCACAGCCGGGAGGCGTTGGAGAAGATGACCATGCAGCAACTCAGGGCCCAACTTGCACCGTTTGAGCGCAAAGGTGTTCGGAAGAAGTGCGACCTGGTGGCTGCCATTGCGCGGAAGGCTAAAAGCTCAGCTGATGGCGCCATTGAAAAATAGCTGTGAGACATGCAACGCGCGCGCCACTGCGCGAACCTGTGGTCTTGTATCTCGTGTCTGCGTGCTTTAGCGCAGCTTTGTGTGCTCGAACTGCGACAAGCTCGGAGATGGTGTAGCCCCTCAGGGTGTGTTGAGGTCCAAGCCAAAGCTGCACGCGCGCTGATATGGAACCTGAGCTCCATCGTTTCATGCAACTCTGTGCTTTGGCAGTATGTTTCGCCAGCGTGGCTTGGACAGCGTTGTGACCTCTCATGTTGTTGTGTGCGGCTGCGCTTCGTTGGGCGGGCTCGACCGCCTATACGTGCTGCGGATGTGGCGGACGCGCTGGGCGTTGCAGAAGGTGCTGGAGGACTTGATGCGGTTCCCTGCGAGCAGACTACTGTGCGCCAACGCACGTGGCATCCACTGCGTGGGACGCGGTGTTGCCGGAGGCTGGTTGGGTGTATCAGACAAGTGGTCGCCGCGCGCTACACACCCTTGAGAAGCTGCTTCGCTGGTACCATCCAGTCGTGGCGCGGGTGAGAGAGCAGCTGCTAAGATCGTTGATCAGCGACGACATTGTTGGGCGTGTGATTGCCTTCTTGTGAGAACTGCGCTTGCCTGCCCACGCGTAAGGCAGTGTTTACGCAAGAAAATAGAAAGGTCTACCTTGACGGTGGGTGTTCGCCCGTCGGATTTGAGTCGCTTGCGCCCGTCGGATTGGGGTCGCTTGCGCCCGTCTCTTGTTGAATCTGTGCGGCGCACTGTGTTTCTTTCCCTTGCTAGGGTGACTTTTTGGGTTGCTTTTTGGGTTGCTTTTCGGGCCCCTGACAAAATAACAAACCCACATGGCGTCCACGGACGTGGCTGTGTAGATGGACAGCCAAACCCAAGAAAGAAATCCACACAGGACGGCTCAGCAACAGCCGGTAGCCCAACAACCCAACAACAACCAAGCCCCAACAACTGCCCAGCAAGCAAAAAGCGACAACAACCCAGTAGCCCAACAATCCAATTTGTCGCGTTGCTCCGTTGAACTCCCAGGACCGTTATCTCGGCGCGTCTCGTTGATATGTTTGGCGCACATGGATTGTCAGGTGGAAAATGGAGGCGGGGTATCTTGAAAAGCTGCGATTGACAGTTAAGTGCGCCGAGCCGCCGCTCCCAACCCTTATGCCGAACCAATTTTCAAACGCTCGAAGTCTCTGTTGTCATCCTTGAGGGTCTTCGTTGTCATTGCGCACGGCAGTCGATTCAAGCCTGAGCCCAATGTGTTGCTTTTGCTTGGTCTCTTGAGCGAGCCTGTGCCATCGTGCGCGTGAGAAAGCGTGGAAGGATTTTGCGATTGAGGAAAGACAGTTCAGGTTTAGTTTAGAAAGGTTGTTTGGTTTTGGGTTGTTTTTGGTTTAGGTTTTTTTGGTTTAGAAGACGAGATTTGGTTGGAAACAGGAGGGGAACCATTGGTTGGTTTTGAGTTGTTTTTGGTTTATGTTTTTAGGTCAGAAGTGTGAGATTTGGTTGGAGAATCTTCTCAGCTGAGCGCAAGCCTATTGAGTGGCGAGTGTTTTGTGACAGCATGCGTCATGCGTGTGAGTGCGTCGCTGTGTCTGTCGCCGTTTTGCGGCGAGCGACGTCTTTGCAGCCAGTGCCGTTCGACAAGATCAGGTCCTGCTCCTGGATGGCGGCTTCCAATAATGCGGACGGGCGCTTGCTAGAGCGCCTGATTGGTCTCTTGCGCGTCTGTGATGCCTTCAGCTCAGTGGTGGTAGCGGAGGTGGAGTGTCGGAACGTTCTGCTGTTCTTTCGAACAGGCAACAGGCTCGTCGATCTAGACGATATGGCAGGCGTGCTGGGGGACGTCGCAGACATAGCAATAGAGCCGTGGCGCGGAACCGAAGCTGAAGCCGTCGCATATCTGCAACGAGAAGTGATCTGCGCGCAGCCGCAAGGGCGCACCGTGTTGCGCTGGCACCGTGTGTGAAAGACTCGAGAGATTGAGACTAATTACCTCGAAGCTTGTGCTCGCAGCCCGGTTACTCACACTCAGAAACAGCAGGCGAAACTGGTGGAACCTTGGTTGGCAGTAGGTCCGATCAATGGAGTTCTTGCCTATTGTTGTTGCTGCTCCAGGGGAGTCGCCGCAGCGCTTGTGGATGTTGCTATTCTCAAGGGTGAGCGAGCGAGCGCAGCAGCGGATCCTGGATCTCTGCGTGGCGAGCGAACTGCGCCGCGCACTTTGTGTCGAGCTCCCGCAAAACTTGATGCTTGCCTTTCTGGAGCAAACCAGCGACGCCGCTGTGTGGACTCTGTTCAGCGCGGAGTGTATGTTTAGCGGGGCGTGCTACGTGGCTGCTGAGCCGTGGCCTGGGGCGGCTGCCTCTGCAGAGGCTTACATGTCAGAATGCGGCGCGGTGAGGATTCTAATCGATTTTGAGCAAGCGGAGTCTGAGCGGTGACGGTGAGCAAAGCTGCTAGCTCTGTTGAGCCGCCCCGTGAGGCGATGCCCGAGCGTAGATGGAGCCAGAGTTGCTGCTGCTGATCCTTGTCCCCTCTGCTTGCTGTGCTCAGGAGTGCGAAACACGATCGCCGGGTGTCCGACAGCTTTGTTTTGTAAGTGAGTTCACGCTGCGTCGTGTGTTGTGTGGCACTGCTTGGTGTGGCCTATAGCTGCTGTGGCGCAGCCGCTGGTTTGAGAGTTAAGGTATGATGGGTATGAGGTTGGTAGGAAATGGGGTTGGGAGATAATAATATTGATTAATAATATGTAGAATACATTAATATGGGGGATATAAATTTAGTTGTTTATTGCTTCTACTTATCATTATATGTTAGATTTTAATCTGTATTATATTTGCAAATTCTATGATTTATAATTATTATGCTTTATTTTATATTATATGAGTAAATTCTTACTGCGGGATGCTCGCGCCCTCAGACAGCTCGAGCAAGCTACAGTCTCTGCAACTCGAACTAGACAGGGTTCACAAGCAGCTGCAAGACTGTGCTCGCGGGACGATGAGGTGTGTCAAAAGCCATTGAAACTGCTGCGAAGGTGACCAGTTGTCTTGCGACAGGCATATAGTGCTAGAAGGCGGGAAAGTGAGCCTGCAGCGATCCATCAACGATGCGATGTTGGCGCGAGATACCGGGGCGCCCAGCGGCGCGCCGGCGGATGTGCGTTTGGTAGCATCTTTGGGCGGGGGTGTTGCGGAGCGGTGCGCGCATGGCAGCTGTGATCTGGAGTTGCACGCGTGTTGTCCGCATTGCCTGCAACAGCTTTGCTGCGAGCACTGGCGCTCATCGCTTTGTCATGAGCATGGCAGCGCCGCGACCTGTCGCTGCGGGGATTGCAAGCTGGTCGCGAGCGCGCGGACCAACACCTATGCCAGCAACGCCAATCATGAAGAAGCGCTAGACATCGAGTTGACGCCCACGCAGTCCGCGCAGAGCTTGACAAGTGAGCAGGGAGAGTCGCTTATGTTGGCGGAGGACGACGGGCATGAAGAATAAACTGGCGCTGTAGAAGGCAACCCGTCACAGCGTGACAGCAATGGTAGCAACCGCTCGTGTGTGAAGGTGAGCCGAGTGCGCCACCACACGCTGCGTCTGGGCTTGTCAGCAGGATGCGCTGCCAAGATGGGCAAGCCTGCGTTTATAGGGCTCACGGAAGACGGTGCAAGCAAATGGGAGCAGTGCGAGAGCATCAAGCGGGAGTTCTCGTGCGGCAATGCGCACAAGCCCGGGCAAGGTGTGGAGCGCGGGCGCGGTGCGCAAGCAGCTGAAGGGCCCAGCTGCGAGCCCTTGACGTACAGCACACCCGCTAGTAGTGCTGACATGGGACGCGCTGATTTTCGGCATGGGTTTGACTTTGAAGCGCGGGTGACAACGTGGATATCAGACTACTTGGAGCGCAAGCACGATTTTCAGCAGAGCGATCTGAGCAAGCACGTCGCTGTCAGGAACTATATGATCGGGCCTCAGCTGGACAAGAGTGGAAGAGGCTTTCACTACCAAGTGATGACGCTGATCAGACGCGGGTGGTCTGCTCAAGATGCGCGTGACTGGACTGAGCAACTGGAGATGGATTTTCGCACGCACTTCCACATGATAGACCCAGCGCTGCTCGGCGGCTCTGCGTCAAGGTGCACAGTCGTGAAGCACCCCAACGGCGAGAAGCATGCGGGCTATGCGTGTCACTCGCATAACAACCCGTGGCCAGTCAAGCAGTAACTCAGCCGCCCATTAGCCCTTTGTCCATCTTTTGTATCCGGGCCCTTTTGTCTCGAAACTGTTTGCAGCTGTTGCCGTACATATTGTGAGCAAGCGAGGTTTGGTAGCTTCAAGAAGATGTCGCCGTCTGACTATTTCGAGATGTTCTTGAAATGGCAAGACCAATGCCATCGCATGCTTCAGATCAAGAACGTTGAGAAAGAAGTGGAGAACCTGCGGTCGGGCGGCGGCGAGCACATTCTAGCGGACGCAATCGAGCTAGCTGCCAGGGATGTGGACGAGCTGCTGCGCGACGGTGAGCTCACCCTGACAGACAAAGGCATCGCGGAGAAACCTGTCGTCATAGCGAGGAAGTTGTACGCGAAGCGCAAGCAGGGCGGTGTGACGTATCCCAGGATGACCAAAGCTGCCCGAGAGCAAGTGGAGCTAATTGTCTGCTCTAGGCGCTGCTTGGCTGTCTTCTAGTGTTTGCGACGCGGCTTCGAGAGTGTCTGACAGGTGTACTGCTTCTGCTGAGAACCCCAACAAGCCAAGCTTCAACTTAGATAGCTTCGATCGCGTGCACCAAGAGCTGCAGAAGTGACCGCTCTCTCGTAGCCCCACGCGTGCGGTGGCTAAGAGTGTAGTCTGCTTGGCAGGTATGTGGATGAGGTTATATGTGGCCCTGGCCGAGATCGCTACAAGGCGCTGCTAGTGCTGGATAAGGAGGGCGGCAAAGGCAAAACGCAATACTTCTTGGCGGCGGCGCCCTGCGTGTACTTCCGGATGCAGATAAATTGGACCACGTGGAATAGGCTGCGCGCTGCGGAGCCGGTGCCTCGCTTTGTGCTTCTGGACGACGTAGATTGGTTCGGGCCGATGTCGAACCTCGACACTGACAATCGGCGCAAGGCCTTGTTGAACGGAACCGCGTCCTTTGATCTATGCACGAGGGGTGGCGCCTTCAGTCATAGCATTCGGCACGGGTTGCCTACTGTGGTTCTGACCAATGAGCTCTCTACGTGGCAGTATTTCAGGTGAGTTGGTGCTCTTGTTTTGCACGCTCGCGCGCGTGACCAGTGTTGTGGCAGGTTCAGCGAATACTTTCAAAACCACATGATCTTTGTTGAGCTGACTGAGCCTCTTTTCAGTTCGCCTGTATAGAGCTAATTCATGGAAGGCGTTGGTTCGCGCGCCAATGAAATGTGTGGCTAATGGAGAACACAAGTTTCGCTGCCCATGTTTGGCTGGGTCAGAGACTGTGATAGATATAGAGACTGGAGAGACATGATAAAGCCCAGAGGCCTAAATGTTTTTGCAACTCTAACGATTGCTTGGAGGGAGTAGCGCATGATCCATTTTTGAAAGAAGAGTAGCCGGTCGAGGCGAGTCGGTCGTGGTTGGCTAGCTTTTGCTGGCTGCTGGCTGCTGGGTCAGAGACCAAGAAAGAGAGAGAGAATCCTCAAGGACTAGGGAGTAGGCGTCGACTAGTGTCAAGAGTGGTAGCGGAGCAGTTTTTGTTTTTTGTTTGCTGGCTGTCTGCTAGCCAATAGAGAGAGAGAGAGCCTCAGGGATTAGTTGAGGACTCAAGTGTGGTAGCGGAGCAGGTTCGTTTTGTTTCTCTCCGGAAAACCGTTTTTATTTCTTGGGTGTTCGGGTGTTCGGGTGTTCGGGTGTTCGTTTGCATTTCTGGTGCTTTTTGCTCGGCCTTTCAGAAGCTTGTTGTTCGATGGAATTTTCCAAACTGAGCTGCAGTCATGCGTTTTGCTTCTTGTTACAAGATTCCTACGCGTCACGCGCGCTCTTCATTGGACTTCGTTGATGAGTCTACAGGTCTGTGCGGGAGGGTGTTCGCTGGGTGTTCGCGGTGTTCGCTTCTGGTTTCTTTCGGTTGGGTTCTGAATGGGTGTTGGTTGGTGGTTGACCAGGCTTGAAACTGCTGCCATGCCCTATGTTTGTGTAGTTTGTTGGGTTTGCGCTGGCTCGGCTGGCTTGACGTGGTTGGGTGGCTTTTTGGTGATGTTGGGCGGACGTCTCGGCTTGATCTGGTTGATGACTGATTGTGTTTTTCGTTTGCTCTGGTCTGGTCGGTTGGTTGGTTGGTGGTCGGTTGGTTGGTCGGTTGATTGGTTGGTTGAGTGGGTCGTTGAACGTAGTGGTTGGGTGGTGTCAAGCGTCTTAAAAGTTAAATTAATCTTTAAAACCCTAAACCCTAAAGCCAGCTATCGGGTTTGAATCTATCCGCAGGAAGTGGTTTGGGTACGATTGCGGGTAAGCGCTGCGCAAACAACGTTAGCGCGGGCGATGGGTATAAGGTTTGAAGCGTTCTGCTGGACTTGGTTTGAATCGTTCCGCTGGACTTGGCTTTGGGTTTTCTGGGGTTCGGGCGTTAGGTTTTGGAGGGTTTGTGTGATTAGGGGTTAGGTTTGAGGGCTTGCGGATTAGGGGTTAGGTTTGAGGGGTTGTGGATTAGGGGTTAGGTTTGAGGGCTTGCGGATTAGGGGTTAGGTTTTAGGGTTTGTGGATTAGGGGTTAGGTTTTAGGGTGTGTGGATTAGGGGTTAGGTTTTAGGGTTTGGGTTTTTTAGGGGTTAGGTTTTAGGGTTTGGGGATTAGGGGTTAGGTTTTAGGGTGTGTGGATTAGGGGTTAGGTTTTAGGGTTTGGGTTTTTTAGGGGTTAGGTTTTAGGGTTTGGGGTTTTTAGGGGTTAGGTTTTAGGGCTTGATCTGGTTGATGGCTGATTGTGTTTTTCGTTTGCTCTGGTCTGGTCGGCTGGTTGGTTGGTTGGTCGGTTGGTTGGTTGGTCGGTTGGTTGATTGGTTGGTTGAGTGGGTGGTTGAACGTAGTGGTTGGGTGGTGTCAAGCGACTTAAAAGTTAAATTAATCTTTAAAACCCTAAACCCTAAAGCCAGCTATCGGGTTTGAATCGATTCCGCAGCAGGAAGTGGTTTGGGTCCGATTGCGGGTAAGCGCTTGCGCAAACAAGTTGCGCGGGATGGTATGTATTAAGGTTTTTTTGAAGCGTTCTGCTGGACTTGGTTTGAATCGTTCCGCTGGACTTGGCTTTGAATCGTTCTAGCCTTGGTTTGAATCGTTCCGCTGGTCTTGGTTTGGAGTCTGGGTTCGGGCGTTAGGTTTGAGGGTGTGTGGAGTAGGGGTTAGGTTTTAGGGTTTGGGTTTTTTAGGGGTTAGGTTTTAGGGTTTGGGGTTTTTAGGGGTTAGGTTTTAGGGTTTGGGTTTTTAGGGGTTAGGTTTTAGGGTTTGGGTTTTTTAGGGGTTAGGTTTTAGGGTTTGGGTTTTTTAGGGGTTAGGTTTTAGGGTTTGGGGTTTTTAGGGGTTAGGTTTTAGGGTTTTGGTTTGTGTGGCTTTTTGGTGATGTTGGGCGGACGCCTCGGCTTGATCTGGTTGATGGCTGATTGTGTTTTTCGTTTGCTCTGGTCTGGTCGGCTGGTTGGTTGGTTGGTCGGTTGGTTGGTTGGTCGGTTGGTTGATTGGTTGGTTGAGTGGGTGGTTGAACGTAGTGGTTGGGTGGTGTCAAGCGTCTTAAAAGTTAAATTAATCTTTAAAACCCTAAACCCTAAAGCCAGCTATCGGGTTTGAATCGATCCGCAGGAAGTGGTTTGGGTACGATTGCGGGTAAGCGCTGCGCAACAACGTTGCGCGGCGATGGTATAAGGTTTGAAGCGTTCTGCTGGACTTGGTTTGAATCGTTCCGCTGGACTTGGCTTTGAATCGTTCTAGCCTTGGTTTGAATCGTTCCGCTGGTCTTGGTTTGGAGTCTGGGTTCGGGCGTTAGGTTTGAGGGTTTGTGGATTAGGGGTTAGGTTTGAGGGCTTGCGGATTAGGGGTTAGGTTTTAGGGTTTGTGGATTAGGGGTTAGGTTTTAGGGTGTGTGGATTAGGGGTTAGGTTTTAGGGTTTGGGTTTTTTAGGGGTTAGGTTTTAGGGTTTGGGGTTTTTAGGGGTTAGGTTTTAGGGTTTGGGTTTTTAGGGGTTAGGTTTTAGGGTTTGGGTTTTTTAGGGGTTAGGTTTTAGGGTTTGGGTTTTTTAGGGGTTAGGTTTGAGGGTTTGTGGATGAGGGGTTAGGTTTGAGGGCTTGCGGATTAGGGGTTAGGTTTTAGGGTTTGTGGATTAGGGGTTAGGTTTTAGGGTGTGTGGATTAGGGGTTAGGTTTTAGGGTTTGGGTTTTTTAGGGGTTAGGTTTTAGGGTTTGGGGTTTTTAGGGGTTAGGTTTTAGGGTTTGGGTTTTTAGGGGTTAGGTTTTAGGGTTTTGGTTTTTAGGGGTTAGGTTTTAGGGTTTGGG